ACTGAACTGTATGAGATTTCCAATGGCTTCACTCGAAGGGATTGGTAGGTGTAGGATTTTGAGTTGAGCATCACATGGAAATTTTTTCTTAGTATTTCCTCGACCCCCTTTAACAGTAGGGTGTTTCCTATGACTCAAGAAAAATAAAAATGAAACTACGAAAACAAAAGTCTTCACGCTTCATGTTCCTCGAATGATTGCCATGTCTTTAAGGTCACACCAATTTCTCCACTTTCAAAGTCTTCAGAAAGTCTTCAGAAATCCAAAGTCTTCAGTTGAAGAACTTCATTTTTAGGGGTCGACTTTCTCTGTAAATATCAAACTCCTCATAGACTTATATACCTATGTACACTCACAAATGCATCAGTCCCTTAACCTATAAGTCTTCAATACACCAAAATCACTAAGGGGCACTAGATGCACTTACAATCATGTACAAGCAACGCTCTCGAGTAGAGTGGCTGCGTGAAGGGGATCACAATACAAGGTATTTTCAAAACCGAGCTACGCATCGAAAGAGAAAGAACACTGTCCGTGCTCTTAAACGGGCGGATGGTAGCAGGTGCACTACTGATGTGGAGATGAGGGCTATGGCTGCATCTTTCTACGCCAACCTGTTTAGCTCTGAGGGCTTATCGGGAGCTGATGTGGTTCTAGGGCTGATGGAGGAAGTGGTTTCTACTGAGATGAACACTAAGCTTATTGCGCCAATAACTGATGAGGAGATTGAGTATGCTCTTTTCTAGATGGGAGCTACTAAAGCCCCGGGGCCAGACGGCCTACCCGTTCTACCAGAGACACTGGTCTTTGCTGAAAGGAGATGTTTGTGCCGTTGTTCATGATTTCCTTGCGGGTGGTGCAACCCCGGAGACGTTTAATGATACTGTCATTGTCATGATCCCCAAGGTGAGTTCTCTGGAGTTGTTAACTCAGTTTTGTCCTATTAGCCTATGCAACGTGCTTTATAAGATTGCAGCGAAGGTGTTGGCAAACCGGCTTAAGGGTATTCTACCGGTCATGATTTCTGAGGAGCAAAGCGCGTTTGTCCCGGGGAGGCTTATCACGGACAATGTCTTAGTGGCGTATGAATGTGTACATGCGATCAGACACCGGAAAAGGAAAAACCTCTTTGTGCTATAAAGTTAGACATGATGAAAGCTTATGATCGAGTGGAGTGGACCTTCTTGGAACAAGTTATGCAGAAGTTTGGTTTTGACCAGGTTTGGGTTGACATGATCATGAGGTGTGTTCGTATCGTCAGATTTTCAGTTAAGCTCAATGGGGGTCTCTCTGATCTGTTTTTGCCATCAAGAGGGCTTAGGCAGGGGGACCCCTTGTCCCACTACCTCTTTCTTTTTTGTGTTGAAGGTTTTTCTGTACTCTTAAAGAAAGCTCAACAGGAGAGGAGGATTAGAGGAGTTTCATTTGGGAGCACTGGCCCCCATGTGACTCACTTTTTATTTGCGGGTGACAACATTGTTTTCTTGGAGGGATCACAAGATACTTTGGAGACTCTAAGAGATATCCTTCAGTGCTATGAGCAAGCTTCTGGGCAACAGGTCAACTTGCAAAAGTCATCTATCTTCTTTGGTAAAGGATGTGCTGAGAATAATAAGGCCATGTTGAAGGGGATCACTGGTATTACATCTGAAGCACTCAGCGAGAAGTATTTGGGCCTACCAACTATGGTGGGAAGATCAAAAGATGGGACTTTCAAGCCTGTGAGGGAGAGTGCCCGGGGCAAGGTCTTGGGATGGAAAGGACAAGGGCTCTCAAAGGCGGCCAAAGAAGTTCTTGTGAAGTCTGGGCTGCAAGCTACTCCAACTTTCACCATGAGTTGCTTTAAACTCTCAAAGAAAATGTGCCGGAACCTGACTACGATCTCTTCTAACTTCTGGTGGGGGTCAACTCATGGTGAGAACAAGGTTCATTGGGTAGCATGGGACAAGATGTGCCTTCCAAAACAAGATGGTGGCATGGGCTTCAGGAATTTTGAGGTTTTCAACCAAGCTTTGTTAGCTAAGCAAGCGTGGAGGCTTCTGCAAGAGCCTGACTCGCTTGTCGCCAGGCTTTTGCGGGCACGGTACTATAAGGATTCCTCTATCATGCATGCTACGTGCTCCTCGAACGGATCATACACCTTTCGGAGTATCCTCTTTGGACGTGACTTGCTGAAAGAGGGGCTGGTTTGGCGTGAGATGGGGCTGGCATCTTAATCCACCACGATAATTGGATTCCTCGTAAGGGTTCCATGTGGCCACTAGGACAAATCTTCATGCATGGAATCACTAGGGTGGCGGACCTGCTCTTGGAAGGTGGTGATGGCTGGATCATGCAACTGTTGATGCAATGTTTTCTGCTGATGATGCTGAGGATATTAAGCAAATTCTGGTGGGTGGGCATGGGGATAATGATCTCCTAGCTTGGAACTTTACAAAATCTGGGGAGTTCAACGTTCGTTCTGCCAATCACCTTGCTATGAGTGGACAACGTGCGAAAGCTGGCCGACCAGAAGGTTCGTCGTCGGTACACACTCACGGGAATTGGCTGGCTTTGTGGAATACCCATGTCCCAAATAAAGTTAAAATTCATGCATGGAGACTCCTGTCTAATGGTCTGGACACTGGGTCAGAGTTGCATCGCCGGCGCATTAAGCCGGGCGTTTTCTGCGCGGCCTGTGGGAGGGAAGAGACACTGGTCCACCGCTTTTGGGCTGTCCGCACTCGAAGGTTTTTTCGCAAGAACTAGCTAAGAGAAGGAGCATTCATGCTTTGGTCCCGCCTGTGGAGATTGAATCAAACCATGCACTGGGGCGGTGGCTTCGGCCCTGGATAGGTGGGGCGCAGGAGGAGCAGAAAGAGATGTTTTTCAGGGAGCTTATGGTCTTTGGCTGGCTAGGAATGCTACGAGGGATGGCGTCCAAATCCAAGATGCGATTGTGGTTGCTGCCTCGATCTCCCGCTTCATGGACGAGTGGAGTAATGCGGTGCCAAAGAAGCTTCGGTCCTCCTCAGTGCCTCCTGTGGACAAGTGTGTCCGCCGGAGCAAGGGTGGACCAAGGCGAACGTGGACGGAGCGGTGGGCAGGAGCTCGGGTGATGGAGGTGGCGGGGTCGTCTTTCGCAACCACGCAGGAGCCTTTCGTGGTGCCCTCGCTCATCTCTTTCCTAAAGTGACAAAACCTGAAGTGGCTGAGCTTATGGCATGTCGGAAAGCTTTGCAGATTGGGCGGGAACTTCACTTTCAGAGGCTACATGTTGATATGGATAGCAAAGAGGTCGTGTGCATGACCAACGACGCGAGGAGAAACCTTTCGATGGTGGGCACTATTGTGGAGGACATCAAGGTGCTAATGTGTGTCTGGCAGGATTGCAAGGTTACTTGGAGAAGAAGATCAGCAAACAAGGCTGCTCATACTCTAGCTAGACTAGTTGTAGGTGATGGAGTGTGTATGGTTTGGCGGTTGTCGCCTCCGGATTGTATTCTAAGTGTAATCGCGGACGAAGTCTCGGACTTCGCTTAAATAAAGTAGATGCTTACCCTAAAAAAAAGAACCAGCTTTGGTTGGGCCTATTTAGCAGCGTATAAATATTTTATTTGAGTTTTCGTAATTAACTCAAGGATATCTAAAAAGGCTTCTCATAAAACACATAAACAATTGTTTTGAAAGAAAGAAAAATCGAATACTAGTCATTTTTATATAAACTCATTTATTTTGTCCTGCACAACCTTCTTACTTCTTTGTAGGATGATGACTTTTCTGTGTACACCAGCGCGTTAGTCCAAACATTATTTTCTACAAGCACATTCGTAAAAGGTTTATTTGCAAAATTAGTTTTTCCAAAGAAAAAACTTGAAACAAATTAGATGTTACTATTACTCACTATCCAAACAACCGCTTAGTAAAGCTACATTGTTTGAGTACGGACTACATGTGGGCCTTTTTTTCTATTCACGGGGTTTTGGAAACTTTGAATTATATAATAATTCTAGAAATACAATAGCGATTGTTTATAAGAGCATTTAGATCAATAATGGTTTAAACGCTCTTATAAAAGTTTACCGAGGGAGTACTACTACAAATCAGAAGAATCCTATAAACTTGAGTCTTGGGGTGATTGGTTAATAATTAAAGAAGTACTCCCTCCTAAACTAATATTAGTTTACAGAGGGAGAACTTGAATACTTATAAACATGTTTTTTTTTTGAAAAAACATGAACATGGTTAAACCAAAGGTAAACAACATGAAAATGTGCATTTTGGATCTTATCATGTCACTACAGAGCCTACTTATTTGTGATTTGTATATAGGATTTTTTTTAAATACTTATTTTTCCCACTTGAATCAGAGCCAGCTGACTTTTATTCTTTCTCTTTTGCCCCCTTTCATTCCGTTTCGTGAACCAAACCGGCAGGTCCGAAAAAAATGCTAACAATCACCCACTGAATACCATTATTACGAAATAATGAAATAAGATAGTCGCAAGAGAGAAATAAACTACTACCTCCATTCCTAGTAGTACGCTAATGTTTAGTCTGAATAAGGATTCAACAACGACGACCGTGAATCTAGGACTTAATTAGGGGCATGTACATAAAAACTTTTCGGCTATTATCGATAAGATCAGACCAACTCCAGTATTGGAGCGGGGACAATGACACGTCCAGCCGACTTTGGTAGTTTGATGGTCCAAAGCTATGCATGTAATTTTTATTAGTATTATAGTTCAAGGTGTTTTGTGCTTCTCATGAACTTTTATAATCAATCTGAATTTTTTTAAATAAAAATAACGTTAACACTTAGCAGCCATCTAGATTGCTCAAAAGGATTAAGCAGTACTCAGGACTTAACAGCCATCTAGCCAGAAAATAAACCTCACTTTACATCCCTTAAATGCTTTGGTTCAAGTTTCATTCATCGGAGACTTCACGCGGAGTGGGATTTTCAGGACTTGATAAAGACAGTTGCTGAAGTTCTTGCATTCCGGGAGGAGCCGAGATTACTCTGCCATACTGTGCGCGGACGGTGCGCGAAGGAGGTGGCGGCGGAGCACCCGGAGCACGTCCACGAGACCGACGGCGCCCACCAGCACCTCCCCCTCCGGCTCGTCGTCCAGCACCCACACCTGCGTCACGCGGTGCGCGACCGCCTGCGCCATCACCGCCACCAGCGAGCTCCCCCGCCGGCACGTGATGACCCCCTTCGTCCACCGCGCCGGGAATTTGGCTTGTCGACCCGTGCTCGTGAAAGCTGGGGTGACGCGCTTCTCGTCCTCGTCCTCGCCGTCGGACGAAGAGGAGGAGGAGGATGCGCTCGACGAGGAGGACGAAGAGGAAGAGGATGGGGACGGCAGGTCGCGGCCGCCCGCGTTGAGGAGGTCGAGCACGCCGTGCCGGTTGCGGCTGCGGAGGCGGGGCCCGAGGGCGGCTTTTCGCGGGGCGCGGGCAGAGTCGACAAAGGACATGGGCGAGAGCGCGGCGAGGGAGGAGCAGAGCGTCAACGGCGAGATCTCGCCGACCAGGCAGCGGCCGGACACCACGGCGACTGAGGCGTGCGTCGCCAGGGCCGCGCGAAGGAGCGGCTCGGTGGCGGAGAGCGTGTCATCTCCGGGCGCAACGGCGAGCACGCTGCGGGCCGGGCGGACGGCGCCGAGGTCGGAGACGGAGCGCAAGGCGATCTGCGAGAAGAGCGCGACGGAGCCGAGGAAGAAGCGCACCACGTCCTCCGCCGTGACCCAGCACATCGGCTCTGCTTGTAGGTGCGCCGGCCGGTGCCGGTTGTCGCGGATGGGCACCAGGAGGTTCTGCGCGCCGCCCAGCAGCGCGTCCACCGCTTCCAGCACGCTGCCCACAAGCAAACAAGCTAACCTCATTAAGAAAGAGCTGGCGGATCAGCGGACATGTACGTGGCGGCCCAAGGGAGGGACGCGTGCGCGCCACCAACCTCGCGTCGGGCTCCACGCGGCGGACGGGCGGCGCCCCGGCAGCTGCGAGGAGGTCAGCGAGCGTGGCCTCGCTGCTGCCGTCGTGGACGCAGAGGAAGAGGAGCACGTCGGCCATGCGCACCCTGCCCGCCACGTCCGCCCCCTCCCGGCCGTCCCACACGGCGACGGCGGCGCCCGGCCCCCCGTCGGCCTCGAGCTCGTCGACGGCGCCGGCCACGGTGGACGAGGGCGGCAGCCACCTGATCGGCGGCTTGCCGATGCAGAGGTCGGACACCTCACTCTCCAGCAGAAACCCCGCCACCATGTATGTACGCACCCACGCACCGACGGCGCCGAGTGATCTCCGGCCGGAGCTGCACGCAAAATGTTGAGCGCAGATATATGCACGCACGCAAACAACACACGACGTGTCGTGTTTCGAGAAACGACACCGATCATGCGTACGCAGCGCGTGTGATCGATGGTGCTCCTTCACTTTTCTCCCCTGAAACCTGGTCAGTTTTTCTTTTCGCGGCCGGGGAGAAAACTGCTCAGTTCAAAGTGTACTCGGAGCACTACTTTCCAACAAGCAAAAAACTGTTAAAGGCGCTCCTCCAAATTAGCCTTTCTAACAGCCAAAAAACAGTTTAAGGTGCTCCTCTAAGCAAACACTTGGCTTTGAATTAATCAAATGATTACGATTAAGATCTGAATGTGCAGCGGTGACAATTTCCTTTTACAATTATCTCTACCTCTCTACTGTCACAGCCCCAGAGTAATATCCTAATTCCTATGCACGTGATTTTACTACTACTACTACTACTACTACTACTACTTATTATTATTATTATTATTATTATTATTATTATTATTATTATTATTATTATTATTATTATTGTGGCTTTTAAACCACCTTATTCCCTTTTAGCCTTTCCTTTCAAGACCCACCTCCAGAACTTTGCAAGTATTGTTATTTACACATTAGAGAGCTACCACAGTTTAGAATGTCACCACACTCCTACGTTCCACCCCTTGCTCAAATACTCTCCTTGGCCTTTTTCTCTTTGAAATTCAAATCCTCTTCAAAGTTTGCAAAACTTGTCGGATATTTTATCAGAGCTTTGAAACATACGTAGAAGAGGCCATATCTAAAATTTCAGCCCATTTGGAATTTGTTTGGCCCTCCAAATAAATTCATTTCCATCTTATTTCTATTTTGTATGTCGGGGAAATGGAAAACCAATCTAAACTAACCCTAGTCGGCCCAATTGCTTTCTCCCGCACAAACCCAACAATCGCCAACATAGCAGGCCAACCCAACTCGCTTACCTGCTCCCGCGCGAGGCCCAGTCCACACTCCTAAAATGTTCACTGTCGTCTCCCTCTCTCAAAGAGGAGACGCCTCCTCGCCGACGACACCGGCCACTGGCCCCACGCCCCCCGGCATCCATAAAGTCCTCGAGGACGCTAAAACCTAGCCACCTACCCTTCCCTTCTCCCTAGTCGCCCCAAGTATGTCGCTTCCCTCCCCTTTCTTCCTCTCAATGAAAATAAAGAGCACGTCGAGAGAATGGCTATTACGCCATCATGACGAATGGCCACCCCACCCCATGTCGTCAAGCTATACAACCGGAGTTTTCTATGCAGAAAACATCATTTGTCTGACCACTCTGGAATCTACACATTGCAGCCTGTTTTTGTCTCTCAAGTTTGTTTTCAGTGCGTTCAAAAATAGTTTTGTTTTTATTCGAAGAAAAATAAACAATTTTTTCTGAAAGAATTGCTTGCCTTGGGCCCACTTTCTAGAACGGGCCAAATATCACGAGATGTGTGGGTGGAGCCTAAGCCCAGCTCTCTCTGGCAATGAATGAAAGGGAAATGCCAGTACCTTGCATTTAGGGCTTGCATCATGCCAGTACCTTGAAACAATTTCTCTGTCTATAAATTGTTTTATGGATGTTGTGCCAACATGGTTAGCCAAATTGCCGCATCTCCAGTGGATTTCCTTGGGTACTAATAACCTTGTTGGCTCAATCCCACCCGAGCTTAGCAATCTCACCAACCTTAATATCCTGGAGCTCTCTCATGCCAACCTGAAAGGGGAAATCCCACCACAAGTAGGTCTAATGCAAGAACTCTCGACTTTAAATTTTGAAAAGAATCAACTAAAAGGTACAATTCCACCTTCCCTTGGCAACTTGTCCAAATTGTCCTATCTATATTTGGACAGAAATCACTTCTCCGGCAAAGTACCCACAACACTTGGGAGAATTGCAACTTTGAAAAGGCTTCTTCTATCTAAGAATAAATTAGAGGGGAATATGGACTTCTTGCTTGCTCTCTCCAACTACCGACAACTCCAGGACCTTGTAATAACGAATAATTATTTCACGGGTACCCTTCCAGACCATATGGGAAACCTCTCTACACAGTTAATCACTTTTCGTGCAAGTTACAATAAGTTAACCGGTGGAATTCCAGCTACTCTCTCAAATTTAAGCAGTCTGAATTGGATAGATCTTTCCAACAACCTACTAGCGAAGGAAATGCCATACTCCATCACTACAATGGAAAACCTTGTGTTTCTCGATATCTCAATGAATGAATTGTTAGGCACTATCCCAAGTCAAATTGGTACGTTCAAGAGTCTTGAGCGATTGTTTTTGCAGAAAAATAAATTCTTTGGCTCTATACCAAATAGCATTGGCAACCTTAGCAGGCTACAATACATTGACATGTCCAATAACCAGTTCATTTCTGCACTACCTACAAGTGTATTCCACCTAGATGAACTTATCAAATTAAATCTTTCTCACAATTCCTTTGGTGGTGCGCTTCCGGATGATGTTAGCATGCTAAGCCAAATCGATCAAATAGACCTTTCTTCCAACTTCTTGGATGGGAAGATTCCTGGATCAATCGGGGAATTTAAAATGCTAACCTACCTCAATCTATCATCTAATTTGTTTGAAGGCCCAATTCCAAACCAACTTAATAATCTAACTAGCTTAGAATTATTAGATCTCTCCTCCAATGATCTTTCTGGCACCATCCCCACTTTCTTTGCCAACTTTACATACTTGAGTACCTTGAACCTCTCCTTCAATAGGCTAGATGGTCAGATACCTAAGGGAGGTGTCTTCTTAAATCTCACATTGCAATCTTTGATTGGAAATGTTGGGCTATGCGGTGCTCCACGCATAGGATTTCCACCATGCCTTGACAAATCTCATTCAAGCAACAAACACTTGTTGAAATTTCAAATCCTGATTGTCATTATTACTTTTGGCGGTATTGCAATTTGCTTATACCTATGTATCAAAAAAGAACTTAAGAAGCGAGAGGTCAAAGTTTATGTCGATCCAACCGATGGCATATGCAATAAGATAGTGTCATATCATGAGCTCCTTGGCGCCACCAACAGTTTCAGCGAATATAACATACTTGGCTCTGGAAGCTTTGGAAAAGTTTTCAAGGGCCAATTGAGCAGTGGTTTGGTGGTCGCAATAAAAGTTCTGGACATGCAACTGGAAAAGGCCATCCGAAGTTTTGATGCGGAGTGTCGAGTTCTTCGCATGGTGCGACACCGCAACCTGATACGAATACTCAACACTTGTTCCAACCTCGACTTTAGAGCGCTTATACTTCAGTACATGCCAAATGGCAGCTTAGAGACACTCATACACCAGTCCGAGAATACAACATGCTTGGGGTTCCTTGAGAGGTTGGGCATCTTGCTTGACGTGTCGATGGCAATGGCGTATCTACATCATGAGCACCACGAGGTGATCTTGCATTGTGACTTGAAACCTAGCAACGTGTTGTTTGATGAGGATATGAATGTGCATGTGGCGGACTTTGGCATTGCGAGGCTGCTTCAAGGTGATGACAACTCCATGACATATGCGAGCATGCCCGGAACAGTTGGGTATATGGCACCAGGTACTTAGCTACAACCTTTTAAATCATAGATTTGCGGTTCATCATACATGTTGTGATCTTTGTTTCCGTGTTTCTTGGGCAGAGTATGGGTCTCTTGGAAAAGCATCGCGGAAGAGCGACATATTCAGCTTTGGAATCATGCTCCTCGAAGTCTTCACGGGAAGGAGGCCGACAGATGCCATGTTCGTCGGGGAACTGAGCCTTCGGCGGTGGGTTTGTCAGGCATTCCCCTCGGAGCTTATGCATGTCGTCGATGAGCGGCTACTACAAGGCCCGTCTTCTAGCTGCAACTTGGCCGATGGCTTTCTTGTGCCAGTACTGGAGCTGGGTCTTCTCTGCTCCTCCGACTTACCTGACCAGAGAACGACGACGATGAGCGATGTGGTCGTGACACTAAAGAAGATCAAAGTTGAGTATATCAAATCGACAACAGCGATGCCGGGGAGCGCAGCACAGTGATTGATCACTGCCCTTTCTTTTATCGATCTACAGCTGGATGTATCTGCTCGTCTCGTGCAATGAGGAGTTAACGACATCACCAGCTGTTACAAATTACTGGGACTATTGTACCTACGCCTCGTTGGTCCGTGCGTGTAATCATTTCTTGTTCGTTTTTTAAGGGAATCAGTTCTTGTTCTTGATATGTATAAGGTGTTGCTTTGAAGTTGATCCATAAATACAAATAGCCTGATGTTCGTGTTGGAGTTTGCAATTGCAGCATAAAGCGGAAATTGAATTGATGTGTTACTTCGGTTTGATGGATCAAATTAATGCCACAAAGTACAACCTCACTGGCCGGCATTAGAAATCGTAGGAACGATCTCCACTTAAAAGTTCCAGCTTGACAAAGAGATAAACGCATAGGCAACCACTGAATCCAGGAATTGAAGTTTGCCGCGGGAAAATTAAAGACCTTCTAAGGTCTTTTTATTTTGCAGTACAAATGCAAGCCTATTCAATCAAAACTGATGAAAGTAATCTACCAAAAGCAGGGAAATGCATCAAAAGATCTCAGAAACTCTTTCTTTTTCACTATATAAGTACACATCAAATCCAAAGGTGACGTGTTCA